GAATTTACATCGAAGTGTCGGTCTTAAAAAAAATATTGTACGTCACGCGACCGAAAAATTAATGTTAAGCAGGTATATCCAAGCTTCCAGGTCTCACCTACGGCCCTGCTTGTCTCGACCTGCAAAACACTACTTTCCGATCTTGTAACGTAAATTATTATTTTTAAATTGTAGACATCTAGTTAAAAAGATCGGGCTCATCATATGTAAAGCATTTATCAGATTTTCTATTACATACTTTTTTATTAACATGTATAAGAAATTTTAACTCTAAAATTCTAAAAGTTTTAAACTATTAAGAATATTTCGCCTATTTGTTGATAATTTTATCGGATTGTTCATTCTGTTTTTGAATTTTTGAGATTTTGTAACTACATTACAAAAACGCCACAAGAATTAAAATACTTTCTTATGTTCTCATTTTGTAATCTAAGTGCCGGAAAGTATGAGAAGAATAAAGAAACAAAACAAAAAGTAATAATTACTGTACAAAAATAATTAGGTTAGATACCTTTAAACTATTTTTTACGGCCTGCAAACAATATTAACAATAAAAAATATCAGTAAAGGGGGTATTGTAAAACTAAAATTTTATTTTCAACAAGTTGTTATAGGTATTGACTATGTCTAGAGACATTCTGTAATATTTATTATAAGTTTACAATAAAAACCGATGCGGTTTTGACAGTAAATTATAAACACTGAAAATAGGCTGGCTATAAGGGATGACTAGTTCTCAGTGGAGGTAAAAAAAATATGAACTTGTTTTATTTAGCCGTTTTTCACGTACGTATAGTATTATATTTTTGGGAACCCTTTACCACTATACTTCTCGGACCTATACATTTTCGCACTTAGATCCCAAACACATGCAAGGCCATATAACTGACTACATCGAAAACCAATTCTATAAATCAAAAATGAGCAAATAAGGTGCAGGTGCAAATGTTACATCAGTAAAACAAATCGGTGAACATACAGGATGTTTTAAGTTAGCAGTCATACATTTTTAGAGGTAATTCCACATAAAAAGGGAAAAAACGTTCAAGTAAACGTGGTTCTGAGAGACCCGAGAGACAACCATTAAAGCTACAGTCCCGATATTTTGCTATTGATATGTCATCTTAGAGGGTTTTGATTTAGCGATATTTGCAACAAGTAAATTTATTTAGGGGTGTGCAAAATAGAGGATAGTTGGGTTTCGTCACTCTCAATAGAATTAGGTGCAATCTTTTTGACATTTTGTGAGCAGATCATGATTTCTTACTTAAAATTGGGCAGAAAACCTTTAATGTTATCATTTATAAGAAAAATCCTAAGGATCTACATAATTCTCCTGACATCTGTGCCTTGCGAGGAAAGTATTAGTAATCTAAAGCTTATAAAAACTTAAGATCAACAATAACTCAAGTAGGAAAATTATCCAATAGAACAGTTTAGTTAGTCGACTAGTGTACTGGTACTTTAAATAATTATAATAAATAACAGTAATAAAAGACTTATTTTAAAATGATGTTATTCTTGGGGTCGGCTAAATGCATTCTTGTCCCCCTTTAAAAATTCCCTGATCCAACACTGATCTTACTAAGGCAGAATTTTTAAAATAAAAACCAGACATTGTATTGTGTTAATTGGAAAACTAGTTAGTAAATATAAACTGTTAAACAAAGATAAGAGTTGCACAAACACAGGAAAATATATATTTACTTGTTGATATTTTGATAATAAACAATTACAGGTTAGTTTACTCATATAGATAGTGTTCTAATCCAAAATTATAAGTAATTTAGCCATAAAAATGTGATTCAGAATGGGAAACACAGCAACATTACACAAGTTAATACTGAATGTCACTGAACTATTAGTTACCTGCATTTAATTTTAAATAAATATTAAAAATATTTATTTAAAAATTACTTCAAATTTAAACATTAGCTTCGGGCCGAAAAACTTTGATCGATAGCTCTTTGGGATTTTTCTTCTTAAATAATGGATCATTAGAAAAGTTTTTAAAATAATTGGTTATAAATAAATTGTAGCAATGATAAAAATTAACAACTAATTGCTACAATGAAGACAAAAAAAAATAGATTTTGACAAATAGCTAAAAGTTTGGAATAAAAAGAATATTTGAAATCAACCGAAACTGATTTATTCTATAATGAATACAAAAAAATATTTTGACAAATAGCTAAAAGTTGGAAATAAGAAGAATATTTGAATTTAAGAGAAAGTAATTTATTCTACCACCAGTCCTAATTTATTTTCAGGAGACAAGTCACCAAACACAAAATAATTTTATTACCTACATCGAAAATTTATGTGTTTCTTTTGAAAGATGTGAATATATTATTTCTTAATTTTATATTTCTTACAACAAACTATAAAATCACAGATTGAGTCGCAAATGACACGCATTTTAACCAGCAATTTTGCCAATTTTAATTATTATTTAAAAATTGTTTTAACATAATTAGATTCAAAATGTATAATTTTAGTTAATTATCAGGTACAGGCTAACATTAGTTATATATTGTTCTTTTAAAATAGTTTTCAAATAATAAGTTTTATGTTATGTTTAAAACCTAGCTGCTTTTCTGCTTATGACATCTTAGTAGAATAGTAATTTTACTATAGCTGCAGTTGTTTAAACAAGCTCTGTTCACTTCATTCTCTTTTAACTTCAAACTACACTTTTAGCATTCATGTATTCTGATTAGTGACAGTTCAACATCCTTAAATGACAGTTAATACACCCTAAAAACTCTTTTCCTGTCTCACTCCAACTCCTGACGTAACTGAACCTACCTTGTAATTTATTTATTTATCAACGAGCAATTGCTCAATTAAAATACAAGTTTAATAAAAGGGACAATTTAAAACCTAACCTACAAGAATGTTGAAACAAAGAAACACAAATTACCATAAAATTAACATAATCATAAACAAGAAAAAAATTAAATATTAAAAAAACAAGATAACAGTTGTACATAAGTTAAATTAAATTATCTAGACATCAAAATATCACATACATGATTTAAGATGGGATTTAAAGACTTTTTTATTGTCAAAGCAGTCCAACCTATTAGAATACTGATTAGCAAATCTACCCGACCTTGATAGAAAAAAATTATGTCCGCAGTTAGTCCAATGTTGTCTAATATTGAAGGGCTGAATAAGCCTTGTTTGTCTAGAAGGAACATGAATATTGATTTGTCCCAACAGCTCTGGACTAAAGCTATACAAGTGTAGTATATTGTAGAATGTGGCAAGATCCTTGTGGATGCATCTGATCTGAGGAGTGGTAATATTAAGGGAACTCTCAAAAGTTTGAGTAATTAATATCCTCGACTCCACGGTGGTCCTTAAATGAAATAAATCTTAAAAATATATGCTGAACTCTTTTAATGGCTTGAATATGAACATTGTAGTGGGGGACCAGACACATGAACAGTAATCTAAATGGGGCATCTCAAATGAACAAAACAATATTTTAATGGATGATACCTCTAAAAAATCCTTAGTGCAACCTTTAATAAAGCCTAGCATTTGAAGTGATTTTGAGACTGCCATTGATATATGGGGTACTTAAGATAAGTTAAAATCGAGGACTACATCCAAATCTGTAACTTGAGATACTGATTGATTCGAAGCCCTGAATATGCACTATCTGTATTCTTTCAGTAAGGTAAGAAGATAGCCATTCAAGCAGTTCCCCCTGAATTCCCAAATTCTGTGCCTTATTAATTAAAACTTTATGGTTAAAACCCTATCGAATTTGTAATGTTGACAAAGAAACAAAACAATGGTATCAAAATTGTGTTTTGACTTTAAAAAGTTTGTCTCATAATGTATAGGTAATTCTACTTAATAAATATATTTTATTTCAAGGAAGTTACAATATTTAATATATTAAGTCCAAATTCAACATGTTATCAATGACAAGTGACAGCGACTTTTTTATCATAAAAAATACAGCTTTGAACGATAATATTTTCAGAGACTGTTTTTAAAAATGGGTTCAGAGTATGGTAAAGAATGGTGGAAAGTCTATAGTTTGTTTTACTTTTAATACATAATATTTTAATAAGTGATATTTAACAAATATTTCAAAGTTATGGACTTTCCACCATTTTTTATAGTATTTAAAAGCTAAAATGCAAAATACACCCTTTTGTTTTTGCCCTAATTATTTCAGGAAACTTGTGTTAAGATTTAAAAATGTACTGTAGATGAGGTGCCGCCAATTTGCAACAGTGCTAATTTGAAACATATGTTTTATTAAACTCATCCTGTTACGTATTTGTTGACATTAAGAGATAGAAATTTAAAGTGAGGTCTTATATTACTTCGTATGAAAAACGGTTTCCTAACCTAAGAAAAAACGAATTGGGTAAAATTAATGGATAATCGTTACCCAAAAAAAAGAAAATTATATAATTGCTATTCTAACAATTCGATTAAATAAATACAAATTTTGAATAAAAACTGTTGGACTTTTTATGTTTAATTCATACTATTTCATTCTATTTTTATTATTAAAGTATTTTGCAGCATTACAAAATATTTTATAAACTCAGTTAATATTTTTTTATTAAACCATCTAAACATTTAATATTTATTTACTTTATTATTTACCTACAATGGAAACATCTCTGGAAAAGATAAATAATCATTAAGGATCAAAATGTATTCAAACAAAAGAACTGAATTAAAATACCTAGTGTTTTAGTACTCTAATATTAGTATTTTTAATGAATAATGAATCAGAAAGTGTGTGAAAATATAGGGTCCATAATTAAATTCAAATATTTGGGAAATTATAAGCAACAAAACTGCAAAAGTAAATTATGTAGGAATAAGTACAGTCGTGGTTGCAAAATTTACTGATTGAATCATTGTATTACAATTTTAAATGGCTAATAAAGATCAATCATGTACAAACAAAAAATCTTTTAAATGTCTAGGGATCCTCTCATTAATTATAATTTTAAACTCACCTGCACTGTAGATGAATAACTCACAGGCCAGTCTGTTTGTACCCATACATCTGAATATTATGTCATAGGTTTCTAAGGCCTTTAAATGTACTCCAGATGGTAGGGCTGGATGCATACACTGGGCTAACCTTTTGCTAATTTTTATCCGCCTTGGTATTACTGGAAATTTTGTGTAACTTAACAAAACCTGTAAGAAAAATAAAATGTAATAATTTTACCCTTATTGATGATTGAAAAAGTATGTAGACAAATACAATTAAAGGAACAACTTTTGTGTGATCTTGACATGTGGACTGCCTTTACAAATACAATGGAAAACTTACTTTGTTTAACTTTCCTAGAGCTGAAATGAGATCAGCCCATTCCGATGTGTATTCAAAATTCTTAAGAGCTTTATCTATTGCTGCTACATAAAGACGATATTTGGAGTCTTTCATTAACTCATATTCTTCCATTGCAACTGTAGTCATTTTAGTAATTCAATTAAAACAATGTAATGAATAAAGGAATCAGTGTTCGACTAAGGATTAATTGGTAATTATGAGCATACATGTCTTTTCATTTTAATGTATTTCTGTAACTAAATATAGATCACCCAATTATTTATCTTGAGGTAAACAAAAATAGTCCTGTTTTAAAATATAGTAATTTCTTTAGTAGTTTAATTTGCACACATATAACTAACTGTTTTTATTTAGACATTAACATACACCACAACCTAACAATGAAAAATATTTTAAAATAACTGCTAGTATAATACACTTATTACACACTCTCATATCAACATAGCTGTAATCACATCGAAAATCGAATGACAATGACATTTTAAACGTCAAGATATTCTTTCGTTAGCTGTTGGTGCAGTTTGCACCAGAGTAAATTACACCACCTTATTTACCTAAGGACCGATTCCACCACAAAGCACATAGAGGTTCCACGTGAATGACCAAGGTCAAAACCGACAACTGACATTTTTTATGCTATTTGCTCCAAACTCTAGATGGGGCTATTAGGCATTCCAACAACCTGTCAAACAATAGGTGCCAGTGGGAAATTCTTGTATATTTAAGGGGGTAGCGACATAGTCTTGTAACTTGGACGCTATTTTTATTCGAAGTAGTACTCGCCAAGCCTGCCAATTTATGAAGAAATGTATAGGTAGGTTTTCTAAATATTATTTTTATTGTGTTTGACATAAAATATTTAAATGTAATCCATTATTCATGATTTTAAGTAAAGTAGATAGAATACACCATATGTCGCCACCCTTAGATATACCAAACCTGCCCACTGGTAATTCATTTGTTTGGAATGCCTAATTGGTGAAATTATGATTTCTTACTCCATTTTTAAGCCTTATGGGAGAAAAACTTAACCAAAGACTCCAAAGATGTGACGTGTATTTATTTATGTTCTTGGTTAGTTTCATTTTTCCGTCTGATTTTAGTGATTTTTTGTTGGCTTTGGCTTTTGGTTCCTGTTTATAGTTTCGTCTTAGTTATTTGCAAAATTGTGATGTTTCGCTTTTTTATTTCCTACTGTGTTTTGCAATAATTTTGGTGCTACGTTGAAAACTTCGAGAAAAACTTCATTGATTCACCATATATTCACCATGCATCTGCATCATAAAAAGACAAACGGGGACAACAACTAATTGATAATCAATTTATCACTGGACTAGATTCCAAAATCATTTTTCACATAATAAGAGAGTAATACCACCATCTGTATTTGGAAGGAAAATGCCTATTTATCATTGAATGAATAGTTAAAAGGATTCACCTTTTAATACAATACCTATATTACATTTGTCCTCAGTTAAAAAGACATTTATAAAATATATAACTTTAGTGTTAATAAAATGTAATATCCTAGTCTCTACTTCACATTTAAATTATTGATAGGTATTTTAAAGATTTGAGATTATACATCTATTTGCTCCAAGTAAGTATTCGTTAAATTTGTATTATTATTTGTATTTATTTTTATCTAATAATATTTATTTAAGTTATTAATAAACATATTTTAAGAATGTTCTATTTTATTATTTATTGATATATCTTATATTTATTTAATAAAAATATGCAGAACCAACTCTCCACATTAGACCCCTCATAACAAATTAATTCTTCAAATTTGGTATAATCGACCTAAATTATTTTGTAAAATAAAAGTTTCGAACTTACTAGTTCCATACTTTATTTTATAAAATAATTTATGTGGAAATCATTTAAAATTTAATTTAAAACTACTACCTACTCCTAAAAATTACAATTTGAATTTACCGCCATCTGTCAATTGTCATTTTAGTTCCAGCTCCAAACACAAGGTGGCGCTAATTTGGTTTAAAAGTTTAACATTGGCGTGGGGTCTCTAGAAGATACATGCTTTGTGGATTCCACCGTTGTGTTAAACGGAGTTTAAAATGAGATTTTTACATTAACAATGTCATTTTAATCTCTGTTTAACACAACGGTGGAATCGGTCCTTAGGCACATACTTTAGGTTCTTTCGTTCGTCCCACAGGTGTAGGAATGAACTACACCAACGTACACTAAACCTTTCGTTCGGCCCGGTATAAAATCCACTAAACCTTCCTGTCGGCGATGTGGTGTCCACTGGTTGATATTTTCTCCACCATTTATTTAGCAGGAGTGAATTACACTCGACATGTATATAAGGAATAAAGAGGGAAGTAAACTAAGGTAAATAAGGTGGTGTAACTGGTGTAATTTACACTGGTGGACACTGCACCAACAGCAAACGAAAGAACCTTTTGATTACTATACGAGGCAAGAGAGAGGTCCGACACGCCCAACATAGGGCGCGGCCATTTTGAACCCTGTGACATAGTTTACAGCTAAAGAATCAGATCGCTCACTCTGCGTCGGCACTTTTGATCTCAATGTTTCAGTTTATACACTGCGCAACTCGGATAATACAATATATGACAACCGCCTATAATAAAACAGCAGTCTTCTGCGTATCCTGAATTTGTATCCCTGGAGTGGATGTTATTTTGGAACTCTCAACTGGTCCGAGTGAGCTAACTGATTCTTTAGCAATAAACTGTGACTCCAAAAATAATATTCACTGACACTGACAGCAGCAAGCAAAATATCAGGTGCGTTTTAATCATCCGATTCTGCTTCCGGAATTGTCGGTTTAGTCGTTATAACCTGTCAGATTAAAACAAGAAAACCAACAATTCCGAAGCAGAAGTGGATGATTAAAACGCACCTATTAAAAATCTTGCGCCAAGATGTAGGCAACACGTAATAAGGGTTCAAAATGGCGGAGTTTTCTATCTCCTTTTAAAAGGCACTCAGAAAGCTGCGCAGTGCGACCATTCTCCGTATAGTAAAAGAAAATCAAAGTATGTGACTGACACTGACAGCAGCAAGCAAAATATCAGGTGCGTTTTAATCATCCGCTTCTGCTTCCGGAATTGTCGGTTTAGTCGTTTTAACCTGTCAGATTGAAACAAGAAAACCGACAACGACAATTCCGAAGCAGAAGATTAAAACGCACCTATTAAAAATATTGCGCCAAGATGTAGGCAACACGTAATAAGGGATCAAAATGGCGGAGTTTTATATCTCCTTTTAAAAGGCACTCAGAAAGTTGCGCAGTGCGACCATTCTCCGTATAGTAAAAGAAAATCAAAGTATGTGGTGCAAGTGAATATTATTAGGCATTCCAAACTGAATGGCTCCCAGTGGGTTTTGACGGGTTATGATATGGCAAAATTATGGCAACCCTCATTGCGTTCGGTTTGCCACGTTCCTTTAACTCCTTTAACACTTTTAACTCCAAACGACTCTTTTAGCGTTCGGTTTAGTCCGATTAGTGACAGTTTAACACGCTTAAATGTCATTTAAAAGCACCCTAAAATTTGTCCCGCTCCAGCCCCTGCCTGACCGAACTCGCCTCCTGTAGGCCTGGTGATTTGACAAGGTCAATGAAATAGATAGTTACATAGATTGATCATCCATATTTTTCAAAATAAACATAATCCTATGCCTTGAAGTAAAAATGTAAGCAATTATTTTTTTTAAATATCTAAAGGCTGGTTTTAAAACACATTTTTGCTAAACCGATTCAAATTAATAAATATTTGCCAGGCAATATGGCCGCTCGTAAACGACCAGCTTTGAGCAATCTATCTAACTATATATGTATCATTGACCCTGTTAATGGCCGTGTTCATCGTCGTCAAACATGTTTTAAAAGCAAAGAAACATGTTTCATAAGCGGTTGGAATTAGTGTTGTAAATATCCGTATCTTTTTAGTATTCGGATAATACGTATTCGGAACCAAGAGATATTCGGATTCATCATCCGGATACGTATCCATATTCCATATGTGAGAAGTCATAATAATACGCAACCGTAAATACACCGCGACATGGGGAATCGGAACCGGGCAGTGTTGCTAAACCTAGCAGAATTTGTTTGAGAGTGAAGTAGCAGAAGCTTTTAATGTTTTAGAATAATAAACTCAAGAAAATCTCAAATATTTTGTTTTTATAATAATATCAGAAATAACATTTCTCATTCACTGAATATTATTTATATTTATACAACTTTGTTACCATTAATATGCTTAGTACATGCCGACTAACCGACTACGAATTGCAACAAGGCTAGTTAGGGCGATTCCGAATTCCGATTTCGCATCGGTTGCCACCCGCAAATCTCGCAATCGGCTCTGTTATGAACACAGTATGTGAAGCATTCGATTCGTGTATTCGGATTTCAGATTTTGTTTCTGTCATTTTTGATTCCGAATCCGTATTCGAATTTACACATTGATTCCGGAATATCCGGATCCTTTTACTATTCGGATTCAACGGATTTTTGGATACGTATTCTTACATCACTAGTTGGAATGACGCTGAACGATCATTTTTGTTTACGATTTGTTTTCTCAACCTCAAATCTGTCAAAAAATGGAATGACATTTGGTTGGCACAAAGAAGGTTATGTGAATTGTTTACTTTAGTATTTTTTAAAAAAAAATGAGTTGAATTGATTTGTACAGTGAATTAGAGTTTATATAAGTACCCTTCTGAAAGTGGTTTTGACAATTTTACGGCGAAAAACCTACAACTTGTATTATTTTGGGTTGTAAAGTCATGATGTTTTTATTGCCTCTATGGATCTTGAATTCTACATACTTAAGACTAATCAAAGAAATTGTAATAGTCATTTTATTAAAGGTAAAATACATTTTTTTGACACACAAATAAAAACATACTGTAACTAGATCATACTTTGAAGAGCAGAATGAGAATGCTATTTATTGTGTTTAATCAACTGTCTGGTCTGCACCAATAAATTAAAGGAACTCATGATACTAATAACATACATATCAAAAAGTGATCTTTTTACATATATCAAGGATACATAAAAGTGTTTAATAATAGAGACATCAAGTATGACTTTCTTATTTTTAGGGAAACAGACT